TGAAGTGGATTAGGTCAGGCCAGGGGAAATCGTACGCTTGTCAGTAAGTGTTCCAATAGGCTTGCGATGTCTTAAGATATATAAACCGTCTGCTGTTTCTCAGAATTGGAGAGAAAGAAAGGATGTCCAGCAGAGCTGTTTCTATGAGCTTTCGTCTTCCCTCCTTCGGATGGATTTTCTTTGGCCTCCCTCTAAGGACGTGCAGTTGTTACCCCATAAATCAGGAAGCATTTAACACAGCACAAAAGCCTCCCTGGCCAGCCCCATTGGACTGTGTGTCAGAGTTTGGACCCGTGTCCCATACATCTCTCAGATGTCCAGTGAAGCCGTCCACATGTCCACACAAGCCACCCCCATCCTCCTCACCTCGGCAGGTGGCTCCGAGCAAGCCTGGGAGGTGCCTGGGGATTTGGAGCTACGGCCCTGGAGGGCGCCCAGCCCCCACTGAGATCAAAGCCCCTTGCCTGGCACTCCGACCAAATGGCGGCTTTGTGACCCATATCCTCCAAAGCAAAGGGGACACAAATCCAGCGAGACAGTTACAACCCCCAAGGGGGGGCCGATGAGCATGCCCGGTCCCCAGAGACAGGTGGGCTGGCACCCGGGAGCCACAATGAGGTGCAAGGTTCCCAGGTCACCGTGCATGTGAAGGGAAGAGGCTCTTCTAACGTAAGAGCACGCCTCTCCCGCAAATGTTAAAGGATGTCGCTGAAAGACCTGGTTTAACTCGCAGCCTGCGGCAAGGGCCAGGCTCGGGTGACAATTGGGTCCAAGGAGACAGCCAAGAAACATGCATGGAGGTCTGTTCCAAGGCTGGAACGGATGGGCCAGCAGCTGGGGGAGGGCCTCTTCGTGGGCCCAGCATCTAGGCCCCGGAGACAACTCGTCTGCAGTGCCCGGGACCAGAGCCGTGCCCGCTCCCAGCCGCGGTCCGCTGTGACCGAGCGGGGAAAGGCCTCACAGGCCGCAAACGATGAACCTACCCCGGGCAGAGGCTACGGCGGCAGGACACCCAGTGCCCGTTTGCTTTCCAAGCCTGTCACAATGTTTTCTGGCTCTCATCATGATACATGAGCCTTGGGTTTTCAAAAGCTGTGATGTTTCGGCGTTGTCTTCCTATTATTTACCACTCATTCTTGCAATACGTCCTCCCGAGATGACCCAAAGGGTTGCAAAAATGATGTCGGATGCTGCTGGGTGTTTGGTTTTTTTTTTTTAGTTTCAGTGCCTCCACACTTGCATTTTCCATGACAGAAGAAAGCGGGTCTGTTGGTTAGTGTGGTTTTGCCAACGTGAACGGGAGGCCTAATAGAGGGCTGGGGGAAGCGTGGCCAAGGGCCCCACCCAGCCCGGAGCCCATTTCTGTGCAGCCGCCCAGCTCCAAGTTGTTCCTGCATGTTGAAGTGGTTGGGAAAACGATCCAATTTCATGACAGGTGAGACCTGCATGAAATTCAAATTTCAGTGTCCACAAATAAAGTTTTATTGGAACACGGCCACATTCCTTCACCCACTAGATGCCCGTCACCCGGCACCACCAGCTGGGACAGCTAAAAACGGCTCCTGCCACACACAGACGTCCCCCTGAGAATGACATCTCCCCAGGCTACAAACGCCAGCCTAAGCCTCTGCCAGACACATTGCCACTCTGGTCTCGGGGAGGGGCAGGGGGGGCATGGAGCTCAGGGGGGCGCTGGTCTCATTGTGCACAGATCAGCCCCGGGAGGAAAGCAGAGTTCCCCAGCAAACGCAGGCCGTGGTGCTGAGTTACCCCCAGGCAGCCGACTGTGTGTTCCTTTAGGCCCAAAGGCAATGCGGTGATGATGTCCTTTGCGGAGGAAAGAATGTAATGGGAGGGTTTCACACATTCATTCATCACAGCAATTTGTTGAGTGCCTATCCTGTGCCTGACGTCACTCTAGGCTCGGAGGGCACTCTGGGGAGCAAGGAGAACAGAGCCGGCGCCCCGGGGCCCGCGCTCCGCAGCGCAGGCGAGGGAGCGCGGCAGGTACAGGAGTCACTACAGGACGAGCCAGGCAGCAGGGACCTGGGCAGAAAGGCGACTCCAGAAGGCAAGGCCGGGCAATGCTTTCGTCGGAGCGGCAGCGCCTCGCACGGTGTAAGGCACTCAGCAGCCGGTGCGGCCTGGGGGCGGCCGGGTCTTTCCGGCAGCCACGTGGGCGGGGGCAGGAGCTGGGAGACGCTGTGGCGGACTCTCTGTGCGTGGGCCCCGTGAGAGATGAGGGTGGAGTGGACAAGGGGGCAGGGCAGTTATGTGGGAAAAGGAGATCGCATTCTGGAGGGAAGAGCCCGAAATGGCTCGGAAGTGTGTGGTTTGTGTAAAATACTACATACGCCTTATCTTTTAACACGTACTCAGAAAACCCTATCATTTCTGGGTGTTTTTTGTTTGTTTTTGTTCTTGTTCCTGGTTTTTTTTTTTTTTACCCTTCTGTCCCCATATTTGTTCAAAATAGTTTTCCAAGTCATTGATTTCTACGCAGCACAATGTAGGGAACCGCGTTCCAACGTTCAGGCGCCTCTACCTATCTGCTGAGTGACCCAAGACCACCAGCCACTGTGTTTGTGCCTAAATGTCCCCACCTGGACAATGACGTTACCATCACTCCCCGCTCTCCCCATTATCTTACAGACTCAGAGGAAAAGCCCACAGGTGCTTCATGAATCTCAAAAGAAACACGCGTCGTCCTCGTGCACGAAGGTACACGGCGATGCTCATGCCCACAGGGGCCACGTAGCGATGGACACGTGAGGGTCCTTCCCAAGGATTCGGACTAGGAATAACCCTTTGTAAGAGAGTCCAAAGTTCCTGTTGGGCTGAGCTGTGGCTTATTGACTCATTCTTGCTTTTAGACCAAAGGAATTGATTTCTTTCCTGTAAAATTCAGTCTCAAGTGCAAGCCTTGATCATTCAATTACAAATATAGTTTAACAACCTGCAGTCCCGAGCGCCACGACGTTTCTTAATGAGGATGTTTTAACAGCAGTTCGTCAAGGAGCTAAGGGCACCATGGGGGAGACAGAGAGAGACCCAGGCAGGTAATAAAAATAAACAAATGAGGTGAAATTAGTTCGAATGAACCTCTTTCACGAAAATGGCAAATGTATAAAAAAAGAATCAATTAATTTCTTGCTGGGATGAGGAGAAAGGAGGTGCGTAAATGAGAAATAGTGCTGATGCAACCAATTATTGTCTACATAATACCCAACCAAGAGAACACTGAACAAAACTAGTGCCTATGAAATTTTAGCGTCCTGCGGGGGGGGGGGGTGTAGGGGTGTGTGTGTGTGTGTGTGTGTGTGTGTGTGTGTGTACCCTTTCCTGCAACACTGATATAAATGAATCACCCAAAACTCCGGTTGAAAAATAATTGCAGTCGCCCCCCCCCCAACCCATGGGAGATTTGCCCTAAAATCCCCGGGGAAGGCCTGAAACCGCAGATAATACCAAACGTTGTATGTACTGTGCTTTTTCCTAGACACACACATTTACAATAAAGTTTAATGTATAAATTCACCCCAGTAAGAGATTAGCAACGAGCGCTAATAATAAAATGGAACGTTGCACCAGCAGGCTATAACAAGTTCCATGAATTCGGCCTCTGTCCCTGATCACCAAGCTGACCGTCGAGACGGCTGGTGAGGGATGAACCGGCGGGAACAGCGGACAAGGGACGATGTACGTTCCGGGCCAGGGGACAGGGACTGCTGGCGAAGCCATCGGGATACTCAGAACGGCATGAAATTTAAACTTGTAAGTGTTTCTTTCTGGACTCGTCTATGTAATAGTTTCAGACCAAGGTTTACCACAGGTAACTGCGATGACAGATAACGGGAGGCCACTGCCACACGTGAGTGGTGGGCACCAGGAGACGTGTCTTCAGAGCGACGGCTAATGATGTTTCAGAAAAAGTGGAAAAGGGCCACCAACCAGACAGTTCATGTCTGCCCAGGATCTAGAGAGTCAGAGCTAAGCAAAGCTTATTTTCACCAAACTAGTTCACATTCAGCTAATTCTGTTCCATATTTAACAACATCTGTGTCTATGAACTGACACAGCGCCTACATGAAGGTGGGAGTGGATTATCATAAAGTTTTAAGTTTAGGAACACTATTCTATAATCATTTACTTGGAGATAACGTGCTTGAAAGACCTTTCAAAATAATAACATTCTTCATAATTATGCTATGAAATTCTCTATAATTATGCCTTGTGTATTGCTCAAATAAAATTTGGGTTATGAAATAAAGGACTGCTTCGATGTTAGGTCTAAAAATAATGTCCACAAATAAATCCCATCGAACACTATTGTGGTCCCAAAATGGCTCCACTCTCTTTAGCAAGTTTAAACTTCATTCGTTTATATAACTAAATGTAAAACCTACTTCTTGAGTGGAGCCAAAGTGCCTTCACATTGTAAAGTTTGCGGACTGAGGTACAAACGTATGCTATTAAAGATATAAATGAGTATCATGACAACTTTAGAGTATGCGTGTGCCGCGTGAACTACTCCAACGTGGAAAAGAATCAAAGTATTTAACCAGCAATTCGTACACACAAACAAACCCTATACACTATAACTCAGATCTAAGTAAAATATATTCAATCTTCTGGTCCAACCAGAAGGCGCTCTATTGCTTCATTAAAAATATTGCGGAACAAAGAGAGGAATGAGGTGGTAGTTGCAAATAAGGACGCGCGTATCCTGGGGCTGCAGCAGTGAGGACAGAAACGACACGTCTGATACGACCGCGTAGAGGCACCTGCGAGTTATACGCCCGTCAAGGCCCGGCTTCTGGTTTTGTTCTGTGAAAGCATCAAGTGTAGCCACGGGTGGGGACCGGGTGAAGGGCCCACACGATTACTTTGTACTTCAATTTTGCAGCTTCCAGGGACTCTCTCATTATTCCAAAATTAAAAAGGTTTTTTGTTGTTGTTGTTGTTGTTTTTAAATAGGGACATAGTTCTAGAGCACGTACCTTTGAACACTGCTTGTGATTCTGGCACCAAACCAGGGAGCCATTGTTCTGCAAAGAGAAAAAGAAATATTGACAAGTTAAATCATTTTCTAACGGGATGCTGCCAACACGCTGGTGTGCGTGAAGAGACTTTTTCAATATTTGCAGGCACCAACAGACCAACGTTGCCATCCTGACAGGTGTTTTTCCTAAAATAGAAAATGCGTTTCGAACGTACGTCCGGTTTTGCCCTTGGCTTCACGATAGAAACAAAGATGGATAAAATAATACCGATTCCAAGCTGCGCACAGGGAAGTGAGCCATCGCTCGTCGTGAGCTGGCCGCGAGCAGGGAAACACACGCTCAGACCTTCCTGTCAAAGCAGATTTGGTGACTTCACAAGCTGGGCACCCAGCAGGCTCTGAGCCACCAAACTCAGCTTCTGGATGAGTCAGCCCTCCCGTGAAAAGCCTCCTCCTTCCCGCGTCCCGGGTGAGCGACATGAACGAGGGATGAACTAGCCCCGTGCCTCAGTTTACCCACTGGTAAAGCAAAGGGACAACAGTGATGTGTGAGGTCTGGGAATGAGTAAGTGAAATAATGCACATGGCTTGACCTTCACTCATCAGGAAACACATTTTAGGACTAGGATTTCTTAATCCCTAACATGCAAGCGCCTGCCTAGAAGCTTCTAGTTTCACCCGATGAAGATATTGGTCACAGTTTTTCCTTTGGTTGTGACACTTTACATCAGATTATGCCAGGACCGGGTACTTGGGAGAGACCAAAGAAACCATCACCCAGTAATTAAGATGTCGTGCTGTGACCTTGGGGTTTTTGAAGTCTGAGTTGAGTATGAGATGAAATAGCCTGTTTCCTGTTTGAAGATCTAAACTTTTCATTTGTAAGAACATCAGAATGGATGTTCATTTGCAGTTAAAAAAAAAAGTGAAACAATAATGTCTTTAGAAAATATTTATAATAACTTTATTGAGAGAAAATTCACGTACATAAAAATCACTGATCTTTAAAGTGTACCCATTCGGTGGCTTTTTGAATATTCACAAGACCGTGCAACACTCTATCAGTCATTTTTAACATCTCCATCAACCCAGAAAGAGACAGGTGCCCCTGTTCCCTCCCCTTCCCCACGGACGCGGGCAGCCACAAGTCTACCTTCTGTCTCTACAGACGGACCTACTCTGGACGTTTCCCATAAAAGCAACTACACAGCATGTGGCCTTCCACATCTGGCTTCTTCCTCCTCCTAATGTTTTACATTATGCTAAGTGCTAGGGCATTTCTGCTTCGTCTCTATCACCGCATGTATTGGTACTTCGTTCCTTTCTATTGTCCAATTCCATGGCATGGCTATGCCACGTTTTGGTCTTCCCCTTCCAATAACATATCTTAATCGATCCCATTTCTAATAATGTATCCTAACAATATGGGATTCCCAAAACCACTGGATCGATCTCAACTGTACGGGATTAGAAAGCCTCTTCTTCCAGGTGAAGACCATTAGGCTAAGAGCTGCCAGCTGCCCGGGAAAGCGTCAGCTATTAAATCTCGCTACCATGGGGCCCCCACGCACCTGTACAGCCTTAACCTCCCGGAACGGCTACGCATACCTACGAGTCCACACACACCTACGAGTTCAGCCCCTCCAGCGTGAACCTGCTCGACCCGACCGAGCGCCACACGCGCTCAGTGGGCCTTTGTCTCTCCCTACACGTCGCCGTCCGGCCGGCAGACCAGGAAGGCCTGAAGCTGGCGGAGAGCACAGCGAGTGCGGGACGCGGGTGAGTAGGCTCTGGGGCAGGTTTGCTCACAGACATAATTCGACTGGGTCTGGGCCACCGCTGGAGAGAGCGTGAACAAGGCTTCGTCGCCGGATGTGAAGTGCTGATATGAAGGGGTACGATGGACAGACAGACAGTTCCTAAAAGGAGCCCGTGGCCTGGAACGAAGTCAAGGTTCCTGGGGGGGCTTCGGCAGATGGAAGCGCGGCCCAAAGAGAGGGAGCCGCACCCAGCGCGGGCTAGGAGTCGGGGAGCTGGTGGGGCCGGGGCAGCTCTGCGACCCTTGCCAGTGGGGGCCCGACCCCGCCTGCTCTCCGGGCAGGCTCCTTGTGCACCACACAGTGGCTCCTGCGGGGACGGCCCAGAGCCACTCCTGCGGGGACGGCCCTAGAGCACGTCTGTCCGAGCACATCCTGGGCCCCACAGGCATGCTCCGGGCTCAGCGCCGCGCCCCCGACCCCACTGTCTGTAAAGAGCCCAGGGAGGCTAGGGGCACGCCGGTCCCGGGAGATGCTTTTTCCGGGGCCACGGTCTGAGGACGTCCGCCTGTTGGAGCCAAGTCAGAGGGTCCCGCTGCCTGCTCTGAGAACCCAGACACGGGGCCCGCTTCCAGGCCCTTTCCCTCCCAGGCCTTGCTTCCCCTGCACCGAGGAACAGAACCTCCAGCGGGGACAAGAGGGCCCTTCAGGGCGGCGGCGGCGCCTGCCGTACTGCTGACAGGAGACGTGCCACACCCTCTTGGGCCGCGGGCTGTGTTTCCTTGGATCTCAGGCTGGGCTCCCCACCTGCACTGAGGCCCAGGAGGGAGGGCTTCCTGTTTCCGCTCTGCCTGAAAGTCCCACATTGGCAACGGACGGTTCCTGCCTCTGCCAGAGACGGGGCACCCGTCTGTCAAAGCCGCTCCCTACGCACGCGAGGTGACGGGGCTGCAAAAGTAGGCGTGGCCACGGCGGCCGGGCCCCCAAAAGCGCATGGGCAGAACTATCACGCGAAGGGTAGCAGGCCTTAGACACGGTGGTTATTAATAAATGCCGTTGCTACACTACTGGCCGCGTCCCTCCAGCAGGCCCTGGCTCTGGTGCCCCGCATGCGCGTCCCCCGCAATCCTCCCGGTCTGACCCGGGGTGCAGTTCGCCGTCCCCCAGTTAACACAGAGGCGGTCCACGCGGCCGACGGCCCTGTGCACGGTCGCAAAGCTGGTGGCCACAGCCCACTGCCGGGAGACGGAGTGTCACCAGAGCCAGCCCCAGCCTCTAACCTTGCAGAGGCAGGGGAGGATGTCTCGGGGACAGGCGGGTGGGCCCGTGCAAAGAACAGGACCGGAGCTTAGGGACATCGGTAGAAGGCAGACGGTAGCGGGTATTGACTTATCCCTGGAAATAGCTTTTTTAGTCCATGTCAGAGGGTTAAAATAATACAAAGACGATGAGGCAGGGCTCGTGTGGGTCAACGTTCTTCTGCTCCCCCAGACTGTGGGGGAAAGGGCCGAACCCCAGCAACAGAAGGGGGAGGGAAGGCCGCGGCAGACACCAGAGGCAGGGACCCCGAGGGAAACTACGGAGCCCACCCCCTTGGCTCAGACGCCCACGAAAATGACCAAAAAAAACCCTCGTTGCAGGGCCTGCTAAGCTGCTTCCTTATGACTGAGAATTAATATCAGTGCAATTCCTCAACCAAAGCACTCTCATTTGAAGCAAAATTTCCCACTAATCGCCAGACCAAAAAGCTGTGTCATTAGAAAGAAACAGCTGGGGCAAGAGCAAGCCATCACAAAAGATTATTTATTATGATTGTAGGACTTTCATTACTGAGGACAGCCTGTCACAGGATGCTTAGGGAGATTAAAAAGAGAATCCAGGCAAAGTACTTAGCAGAACACGGGGGCGTGTCGGGAGAGGGGAGAAGGTGCATTCATGTTATTTTGTTGCTTTGCCATTGCCACCGCTTTGACGAGTGGGGAGTGAGCCGGCCTTTACAACCTCCCGGCTCTGACCACAGCGCATTCTCTGCACTAACCTGGCGTTGAGGCTCCAAGGGGGCCTGGCACGTTTCCCTCCCTGGGGCGGGGGAGTCTCTCCCTGTTTGCCCAGGCAACCCACGGGCAGCGCTAGCGTTTCCTTTTCACTTCCCTGGATTGACCACCTAATTCCTTGGTGGGGAACTGTCTGCCTGCCTCAGCTGGTGTAAAAATTTTCCAGTACCTCTTCTGTCTTTTGAATGTATGCATGGAGTTTTCCATGCAGACATTTTGTACACACACACACACACACACACACACACTCACTCTTTCCCCAAAATGTGTCCATCTCCTCTCCCTGTTTGAGGCTTCCTGTTTTTCTTCAAACAGCCCCTCCCTCCACGGAAGCTTCTGTGGCTTTTCATGCTTTTGCCTTAATCCATCACCATCCTCCATAATGTTTATCTCCAGAAAGAACTTCTCAGAAGCCTGCCCAATACCACCAAGGAGGTCGGTAAACCGCCCGGGACTGTGTTTGGGCCAGGTGTGTTCCTCTGCTTCTGGCGCTTACCTGCGATGCTCTTCGAGCAGGTGAGCGGAGGAAAAATACAAGAGCCCGTGCCGTTTCCACACCCCGCCCCGGGGGGAAGTTCTTACTCACACTCCCGTAGCCTTCACCCGGTAAGCCACGTGACAACAAAACTAAGATACACTGTTCGCAGTAACATCCTGTTCTGGCTTAAAGCCAACAAAATAAAGGGACAAAGTCCATTAGGCAAAGGAGACGTTGCCTCTAGAATCATGACAGGGACCTCCACGAAGGATCAGACAGCGGGGCTTTGTTCCGTCCACAAAGATGACGTCCTCTATTTTATCGGTTTTACTAGATCAAACACGAATGCTAGTCAATTCCCCTTTCAAAGAGTTTAGGCAGTTCAATCACCTGCCCCCCACATTGTTTCAATGGCACGTTCAAAGTTTCTCCATTTCCAGCCTTTTGATTTTTCTCCCCTTAAAGCAAAAATAATTCTTCAAACGCTCGGAGTAAAGAAAACACTTCATTCACTCAGAGACAACCCACCAGGAGGGGATAAAGATAAATGGAAACTAGTTATCTAGACACAGCCATCTGAAAAGAGAAGAGAGGATTATACCAGGCCCCACTTTTCTTTTAACATAACCAGGTGTGTGGGGAACAGTCCCAGGGACGCATCGACTTGCAGGTTCGGAAAAACACCCAACCGCTGCGCAACACGGGACAGGGGCTCCACCCAGAAACCCTCCCGGAAAACCCACAACAAACAGTCCCT